AGGTTTTAACAATTTTATAAACGCATCGAGTCTAGTGGGTTTAGCAGTCAATTCGATAACAACGTTATCATTAGCGACATCAATTACATGAGCTTTAAAAAGGTTACAAAGATCAATTAACGCGCGAAGATGTGCATGCTTTTGACGTAACGCTTCAGATGGGGTTAATGGTTTAGCTTTATCATAGACATAATCATCAGGTAGCACAGATGTGGCATCAGGAGACTATAAATAAAAATTGTAAGATTCTAATAAAATATATTTTCAGAAAAATATATGCATATATATATATATATATATATTTATATTAAAAAAAATTTAAATGCCACTATACCTCAGATTCTAAATCAGCTTCAGGCATAAACTCATCATCATACTCAGCATGTTTGATAGCAATTAATTGCTCATGTAAATGTTCCGGTCCCAAAGTGGATACTTTAACCAACAATAATTCACGTTCTACGATTGAAGTTTGCGTATAATCAAGTACAGCCCATACAGGAACCTAAAGAGGAAATAAGTAAAATTAATAAAATTTCGATATATATATATATATATATATATTTATATATAGTACAAAGCAAGGATAAATAAATATTTACCAACTCTTCTAGTTGTCGTCTTGCTTGTTCAATGACTACATCATGACCACGTAACACGATAGTCATTCTACTTAAGTCAGAAGCTTCGGTACTAGCCACAACCAATGAATCAATGTTAAATCCTCTTCCGGCAAGAATACCGCTCACTCTACTAAGTACACCAGGTTCATTCTGTACAAGACAATTTAGAACATGTCTTTTCGGAGGGGAAGGATAAGGAGCAGGCGTATTATATAAAATATTAGTAACAGCTTCTTCAGCCGAAGGAGTTATCGGTTCGAATACAGGTAACGGAGGAGCTTTTTTACGAGGATGAGTAAGTTTAAACTCGATAGCCGAAGTCGAAGATTTTATGGAAGTAGATTTATCACGATTAAATATTTGGATTGGAATCGCGGGTATAATATATTTTGATGCGATAATGTTTCCCCGGTGATTTCTCGAAAAGGCAAAGATAGAACGAGACGAATGCTGAGAAGAAATGTAATAATCATCAACGTCCAAGAAGGCTCGAGTAAATATCCGTCACACATTTTATTTTTTACTAACCGACGTAACGAACTGATCCCACTTGGGTAATATTCTTCGGGAAATACCCGAATACATAACTACAAGTGAAAGCCTATTATTGTTTATGAATATTATTGAACAAACATAATATCGTGTAAACCC